CTACACGCTTTTTAGTCTTAAGCGTTGTACACACTGACTCACCAAATTTACTGCGACTCTGTGGCCGACAGAACAAAAACCATGTACGTTCCGTTGTTTAAAAATAGTGGACTATAAATTGACTTGATATTACTTCAGTATAGAACCCAAAAAAGCTCAGAATCATAACGTTGACCGAAACTTCTTTATTGACTTTCAAAGTAAGTTAGTTGAGGAACGGCGAAGGCCACACTGCCAACTCCGAACTCAGTAGCGGCTTACCAACACAAACTCAGAAGAACCTCTGCCTAGTTGAAACTCCAGTAATTCACAGCAACCTCAAAGCTCTAAACACAAGCTTTAAAAACCTAACAAATTTGCGTCTGCGCCGCTCCTCGGTACAAAGAAAGAAATACAATTTGCATAACACCGAACAATAATTTAAAGTTCAAGATATTAGATATATTTTGTCAGTTAATTATGACAAAGTATTTGACAGTTACATACACAAGAAAGGATGCCTTTGTGAAGACTTAACACAGAAAATTACCTTGTATTTACAGCATGAGCACATTGAGTAAATCATAGAAAAATGACACAGGCAGCCTATGGAATTATTGGAAAATAGTCTCAAAACAAACAGTTGCTGTTCCACACATTTAACTATTCTGCCATTAGTGACCTTACAAAAATATGAATTTGCCAGACCTGGTACTTTTATAATAAATTTGAAATCAGAATGGCAATTTGAAGAAAAGTAAAAAAAATACATGTATGTTTGATGCCAATAGAGAATGAACTTTGCATATGTCTCAACACAAAAGTGAATTTTCAAATCATCAGACCCTCTGTCACACACAGTTTTTAATAGTTTCAGATATTTAAGAATATAAATTTTAAAATGTTATAAATTCTTTAAGAATTCAATTTTTTGTTGCTGTTATTTAACAGAATAATTTTTTAGTGCAACTGATATCCATATTAAAGTCTGTTAAGTATTAATTGTTATTATTTTCAAGCTTAAGTTTTGCTTACTATTTCAATTTAATCTTTAAGATGTCTTAATTTTTTTTTTTTTTTTTTTTTTAAAAGTTGGTTCAAGTGGTGTAACAAGTTTTGTTTTAAAAGTTGGGAAAGTGTTTAGTTTTAAAAGTTAGGGGACTTAAGTTTGCTGGTTTTTGTTACATTGTTTTGGACCCTAAGGTTGTTAATTTATTATTCTTAAAGTTTGTTTGCTGCACTTTAGTGTGGAATTTTTTTAACTTTAGGTAACTTAAATTTTATCCCTCTTTATTAAAGTTGTTGAATACTATTTTTCGACTGGTGGTAGGTAAATCAATAGTAATTGAAATCAATCTGGTTAATGGTGTGTATACTTAAAATGTGCTGAAGCAATTTATAGTGCTGACATTTTTTAATGAATTATATTGTTATGTAAATAGTTTAATTTTTAATGTCCCAAATTCATTTGTGTTGACTAACTATTCACTAGTTCTGAAACTTTTCTCATCCCAACCCTCGACTTGGAATTCATTCTCAGAATCCCTTATCAGAGGATTACTGCAACCCGTAATTCTTTCGCCCAAGCGTTCAAACACATGTCAGATGACGTGTTGGATGTTTACACCATCTGGATTTTTACTTAAACAGGACCCCGGTTGCTGTGACATCTCTAGCAGGGAAAGGTTCTACATTGAATTTGTGAGGAGGGGGGAATAAGCGTTGGATAGGAAGTTCTACATGGTCGAGTTGCACTCGATTCGAGGCTAGTGCCCTCCCCTTGTTTTCATCTGCGGAGAGTTGTTGACCCATCGAAGTGGCCTTGGAGGCCGAATGGTTGAACTGCGCTTGTTGGCTCTTCTGGTAGTCGGGAAACCCCTTCCCGTGAAGATTTCTCTGTTTGGGTTGCTGTGCTTGGCTTCCTGCTGATCACCTTCTTCGACAGATTTTTCAAAAAACGCGCCAGCTATAAAAGTGGCTGCGTGATATTTTCAGAGGGGAAAGGGAGAAAAGATTTTCGATTACACCTTTTCTTTTTTTTCTTTTTCTGATGGAGCCAGGGAGATGGAGAAGGAAATTTTCTCAAAGAAAAAAAACAAGAGATGACTTCTAAGGTACAGAGCAGAAACCAGCAGTCCAGAGTCCCTGGTGTTATAAATGATTAAACAACCTACACAGAAGAAAGGCGTACTGAATCAAGAATTCCTGAGATTTTCCTGTCTTAAGTACAGCCCGTGGGTTTGGGAAGACTGGAATCCTACTGGTTGGAAGCGGCTGTGGGAAGGAAAGCCTGGCCTCCGAAAGAGTTGCCCTTGATTAACTTTTCTCATATTGTCTTTTCTTCTTACAGATGTATCTTCAGACGTATACTTATTATTCCCTGCCTCATGACAGATACCCTTGTCTTAGTTTTACACCTGTATCAAGTATCCAAATTTTGTATATGGATCCCAACGGGAACTGTGAAATGTTAAATGTTAAAGAAGTATGTTAACATTTTCCATTGTTTCTTCAGATATTTAGAAGACCGGTCACCACCAATGTAAACTGTAACGTGTATTCTTTCTCTTTATCACCATAAATAAACGTTAGTTTGATTTTACTTACCTTGTTTGTGAATTAATTTTAATTAACTTTGCACTGGACCATAGTATTTGAACGGGTTACTGCCCAACATTATGTCACACAACGCAAACAATGTAATTTAGAATTGCTTTATTGTTTATGTTTTACTCTGATCATTACTCGAAGTGCTATTTAATGGACTGATGCAGAATTGGTTTTAAAATGTCTTCAGCTGTTGTTCCTATCCACACATTACCTACTACAATATAGGTATTAACTTGATTATTCAATTACACAGGTTAAGAAGTAAATAATACATTTGTAATATCTTATGTTATATTGTTCTAATTGCTCAATAGTTTAATACCATAACAAGTCTATATTTAATAAAAAAAATAACATACCGTATTTGACGGCATATAAGATGCACTTTTTTTCCTAAATTTGGTCTAAAAAATGTTACCTGTGTCTTATACGTGAAGGACAAGGGTTAACTTTCAATAATGAATGCTATTTTTAGCTCGGATAAGGCTAGACAACATACCTTTTACATCTGCATAATTATTTTGCGCATGCGTGAAATCTGTTGCCAAAAAAGCCAAAGCTCGAAGCTGATGTCAAAGTTCGAACAGTTCGACGGTCACATTACGTCTATGGAACCTTTCCTTCTTTACAAGACTTTCTTTGACTCAACTGCACACGTGTGGTATCGGGTGCTATTCTGATAAACATCTCAGTATTGGGCTTAAAAAACTATTTGTTTGAAAAAAATACCCTGGAAATACGCTACAGGAAACAAGAGATTAAGCTATACAATTCAGTATAAACTAGGAGTGTTGAAACTACGCCAAAGTGCATGGAAAACAGAGCAGCAGCAAGGCATTTGGTCCATCATTTACCAAAAAAATGGACAACGTACTTGGCGACTGCAGGAAGATCAACTGAAGACTGCTAAAAAACAAAAATAACCTTCGATGCCCAGCTCCATCTTGGCCTGGAACTTGAAAAATGCCGTAAAAATGTGGGTGATAGATAAGGAATCTGGGCTAAGTGTTTCAATCAAAATGGTTAATCAATGAGGCAAAGGATTTGCAGAAAAACATGGGAATCAGAACTTTCAGGGTCTGAGGGCTGGTGCTACAGGTTCATGAAAAGGCAAGGTTATCAATGCACACACAAAAACACTATTGCACAGAAAATGCCAGCAGATTATGAAGAAAAAATACTAGCATTTCATAGGTTTGTTATAAATACACACAAGAAATCTTCTTTTGAGCTCGGTCAAATAGGAAATATGGATGAAATTCCCCTCACATTTGATGTACCATCCAACAAGACTGTGAGTATTAAAGGGTCTAAATCAATAACCATAAAAACCACAGGTCATGAAAAAAAACCCGATATACGGTAGTTCTAACCTGTTGTGCTGATGGCACAAAACTACCGCCGTTTTTCATAATCAAAAGAAAAACTCATCTGAAAGAAAAACTTCCAACGGATGTAATAGTTCATGTTCATGCGAAAGGCTGGATGGACAAGCGGAATGAAACTGAGGTTAACAGAACGATGGCGAGGCAACCTGGTGGACTCTTAAAAAACCCTCTCTTTTGGTTTTGGATCAGCTAGCGCCATAGAATAAACCATAAAGAATAACGCGAGAGAATTAAAAAAACCCAGATAGCTGTCCATTGGACTGACTAGCCAATTGCAGCCTTTAGATATATCGGTGAATATGCCATTTAAGAAAAAGGTGCGAGAACGATGGAAGAAGTGAATAGAAGAGCCATATCATCCCTCAGGTAGAATGAAGCGGCCTCTATTTCACAAGTGTGCGAATGAGTAAAAAGATCTTGGGAGGACGTAAAGGCTGAAGTAATTGTTAAGTCCTTTAAGAAGTGCGGAATCAGTAATGCTCTTGACGGAACAGAAGACGACGCATTATTCGAAGAAGGTGATACTAGATGACGGAAACAGTAGTGATGACATATTCTCGTTTTCGATGATGATGATAGTGAAAAGGATTTTAAGGTTTTGAAAGTGATTAAAGTCTAATTTCATGATAGGCAACGTTTTCCTTGAATCTGTGTTTTTGTTGTTTCTTCTTCGCTTTTTTTGTATTTGTTTGATGCTTGCCGTTCATTCATTTATTCATTACTGAAATTTACATATCATGTTCAAAATAGCTTGCTGTTTGTTAATTTTCCTTAATAAAAATATGCTTGGTAATCAATGATTGTTTATTTGGCTTTTACAAAATGTGAGAACTGAAAGAAACCACATTTTAAGTTATTGTGATACCGTGCTGTCGCGCGGACTATTGAAACTTTTCTTCCTTGTGTGTGGCCTTCTAAATAAAGGTGCGTCTTTTATGCCGTCAAATACGGTATTTAGAGAATTGGAATTAAAGAAAAAAATACTGACAGATTCAAAGAATTTTTAGTTTTTCTACAACTTACCTCAGTTCGTAATTCAGCAAGTCTTTGGTCAAGGGTAGTGCGATTATTGGCTTCATCTTCTAAATCTAACCTCATATTATCAATTTCATCCTGATGTTCTGCTTTAATTTGACTCAACTAGCCGATTGGAAAATACCACATTATATAAGAAAATCAAAAATGCAAAATATCAATACTTCTTAATTTTACAAAACATTAAAAAAAATATTATTATTTTACTTTAATATGAGAATCTGTATTTCATGCTACCTTTTAAAGCATTCAGGAATATGTAAAGCCACCAAATAACAATCAATTCTCAAACGGTTTTACTCCTTTTTTTAATATTCTGAACAACCTTAGAATGTTTCTTATGCTGCGTATAGGTGTAACATGCCTTAGTGGTGAAAAAAATCCCCATGACAGAAGGTTAATAATGTATTTTCTGAGGACTAGTTTCCTTGAGCAAAGATACTTACTTATATGGAACAGATTATTAGTAATTTTGTGATATAATATGTACCTACTGGAGAATGCTACATCTTGTATGTTAAAAATAAATATCTAAATAAATAAAAATGTGGTTTTGAGCATCTTCCAAGGCATAAATAAAACTGTCACTGCCATAACCTTTATATGCTTCAAAATTACTTTAATGCTTGTCTACACATAATATGAATTAAACTTTTTCAAAATTATATAGAATGATAATAGCAACTATGCACACAATGTATGTGAAACTAGCTAACCTTGCATTCAAAATTACTATAAATGTACGAGTCTTAAACTCAGCATTGTGCATCTTGATTTAAAAAACAGGTAATTGTGTATTATTGCAACCACCTGGGCACAATTTAGCGAATTTTATGAAAGAAAAAGAACAATTACTTTTATTGTAAAAAAAAATTATATATTACATACATGCTTATTCTTACATAAATATTCTACCTTTCAACTACATAGTTATTACATAAGACAATCAGTAAACCTAGTTAGAAATAGGTTTTTGTTTTTGTTGTGTTGAAAATTTTATAGCAATTGCTTAGGGAAAAAAGATTTTGAAGCATTGCCCTTTTAGCATTTTTGTAACAAAAAATACGTTCCTGTAGAAATTTCACAAGCATGCACCTTTCCTTCTTCTATTATAGGAAAGTCATACTAGCACAAATTTTTAAAAATCAAGTTTAAGTTAAAAAAAATTATCATAACTTTTCTATAAAGCCATTTGAACATGAAATGCAGCAAAAAAATAGCAACATTGGAAACCGAATATTTGTTATGTGTATGGTTGTCTGAATAATTATGTCCGTCGTTACCAGAATTTGGTGTGTTCTGAAGTTTTGGTGATTTCAACTAAGGTGGTTGTTATAATACATTAAACAACATACATCCCAGAAGTCTAACTCTTTATTCTATATGAATGAGTTAAATGCCGTATTTTCTTTTAAATACACTTTTGAAAATAAATGCTTATTAGTAACTTATTTTGTATGCTTTTTTAAACAAAACTTTAGAGCTACAGCTACTTAATAGAAAATATTTTGCATTCCAGCATAGCATAATATGCATACACAAGACCTTTAATAAACTTAACTGCATTACTAAATAAAATTTTTAAAGAGAAGAATCAGACAATTACATAATAATCCTGGCTAATATACTGCATCTTTTAGCTAATATAGCAAAGCCTTAATGATATCACATACATCTTCAAGGTACTCATTAAAAATCATCATATAGCATGAAAAACATATTACTAAATATCAGAAATCTATTTTCCAAAGGGTGGATACTTCAAAAGTTTGATATTCTATAAACAAAACTATGTCAGCAAAAATATAACTACAATATAAATCTTACTTCTTTTAATGTATCTTGTTTTGACTTCTTCAAGTCATCATACTTCATTCGAATCTGATTGTATTCAGTTTGTAATTTTTCTATACTTTTCATTAATTTATTCTTTTCTCTGTTGAATATAAAATATTTCAATTACACAGTTCTAAAATTTAATTAAAGATTAGTGTATTAAAAATATAAAATATAAAACACTGCAATATATGTATAAAAACATTTTAAAACAATTAATTATACAAATTTAATTGCCAAAACTCTAAAAAGTAATTAAAATACAGTAAAAGCCCAGTTGTCTGACATTCAACTACTCAGAAAGCTCAAGTAACCAAAATATTTAAATTTTAGAAAAAAATCCCCCTAAATTAGTAAATGATACTTGTAATGCCATTATAGAGTTCATAATACTATAAACACAGATATATTATCATCAAAGAGTGCAAATTTAATGCAAATAATGGATACTATGTTACAACACAATCATATGTTCATTTTGGTTTAATGCAAATTCAATGAATGCTACTTTAAATTTGGTAATTTAATTTAATTACATTAATTTAAGGTACTTTAATTTTGGTAAAGAAAGATATAAATTCAACTTTCTCCACAAATTGAAAAAAAAAAAAAAGATTAATATTTGGGACTGCATAAAGTGGAGCTTTTTCAAAGTTACAGGATCCAGATATCAAAATAAGCCACAATATGCAACTCTGAAAATGGATAAACAATGATGACATAATATGAAAATTATGATAAGCAATTTAAGTTTTCACATGCTATATCTGCAGTTTGTATCTCTTAAATATCTAACAAACTAAAGAACAATTTGCTCATTCAAACATCTACCACAATAATCGGCAATATCTCCGCAACTTTCACATTTGAAGGGATTTTACATTTGCTTATGAAATACTGGCATTTATATGACTGAAGTCTTCTCAAAATCTGAATTTTAAATGTAGACTTTGGATATTCATGTTAATACATAAGCTATATAATTTTAAAGCAGGAAATTTTTTCCACTAATTTGTCTTTTCTAATGTTAATTCTTTTTTTTTTTTTTTTTTTTCTTTTTTGGTTGTTTATATATATAGCAGCATTTCTCCAGCTTTTCCTGTACTGTGCAAAAAAAAAAAAAAAAATGCTTCTAAATTTTATTCATATTCCGGAGATCTTTGTAAAAACTTATATTAATAAAAGGTAATAATTAAAAGAGAAAGAAAAGTACTTAAAAGGATACAGATTACTAAAATTATGTAAAATATTATAAAGTGATATAAAAGGCAAATGTGACATTCTAACCTAACACATCTGAAGGGGGGGAAATCTTTTTAACTGCTTGAAATCAAGCTATAATCTATTTGAAATAAGCTAATAGAAGAAAGAACAAAGAGAATTCTTTCTCTTATTTGATATTAACTATTTGATAAGGGAAAACAAATACTCAATTTAGGGAAAGTTTTACTAAGTAACTTTAATTTATCAACTTCAATGTACAAAGTCAAAAAAACTGATCAAATTTTCAGTTGCAAAAAAACTGGCTCATAAAAACCACTTTAATACATAATTACTACCAAAAATGGTTTTACATTATCATGCAAATCCTATGAGTTAAAAGAGAAATTACACTTTTATTTAAGAGAATTAAAAATACTTACTGTCTTTCTGCTATAATTGTTTTTGTAGCTTCATCTAATCTTAGCTGTAACATAGCTAATTTTTGTTCAGTTAATTCCTGTACAGGAACATTAAAATCTTCTATACCCCGATGAGATAATCGGGAACACTTTTTTTCATTTACCGTTGGTATAGTGCTAATGGTTATGGATTCTTTACAATCTCTCTGAAGCAATTTATCTAAAAACTGCAAGTCCTGATTTGTGGTTTGCGATGGTTCAGAAATCTCAACTATTGTTGATGAAACTTCAGTATTCTCTTCATCTACATTGTCCTGATTAAATGATTTAGATGAAGGTTCATTAAGCAGAGATTCATTGGAATCTGGAATTTTATCACCAGGGCCAACATCTCTTTCAGCAGCAACTCTCTCTGTTATTTGTACACCTGAATACAACAGCAAATCATCTTTCTTATCATCTATATAATCCTGTTTGCCACTGAAAAGCTGATTTTCTTTCTTAAGTCTCTCAATTTGTAAATACAGTTCTTGTTTTTCTCTTTTTAACGTGTTACATTCCTTAGCTGTAACTTCAAGTTTACCCCTAAAATGAAATAAATATAATAAATCTGGATGTAACTAACCTGCCATAGGGGATGTTTAAAAAAACACAATGTTCTTGTAGATGCAGTAAAACATGCATTATGTTTTCGTACGTTAAATATAAAAAGTTTCACATTTTTTTCTCACAAATATATTTATTCATAACACATAACAACAGAGAATTTTCTAAAAGCAATTTTAACGTTGTTGATTGAAAGTTTCTATAAATGTAAAATTTAGTTTTTTTGTGTGTGTATATGCAAGTCAAACAAATCAATTAATAAAACATTAATTATGTTTAAATAAGTTAAATATAAAACATTTCATGATTTCCTACAAAATTTCATAAAGATATATATCAGATAACACTTATTAATTTAAATCACTACTGAGCACTTTGGAGCAGATTTTGATAGAATTTAGGAGAGAAACTAAAACAAAAGTCCCTCGTTTGAGGATTAATGCTTCTATATTGCATTAAATTGATATTCTTAATTAATTTTGTACAATAGAATCTACAAAACTATTTTTTACTATTAAATGTATCTATTAATTTTACATGTAAAGATATAGAACATTTTATATTTGACATTTAAAACTAACATTTTACTAAGTGGACTTTATGCTCTACAGAAATCAAATTAAAAGTTTTTTTTCCCATTATTTATAAACACTTATTTATTCATTATTTATGCTGAAACTATTTTCAAAAAATTCTTTATGTTATTTTGAAAAATTTTGTAGTCAGTTTGAAATATGAGTATATGATAAATACTTAAGAATATAAAGCCTGAAACATTTAATATATGATGTATTATATACATACAAAGGAGTTGATTTATTTCTAGAGACATACTTCTCCAAAGCTAAAAATTGCACTACATTTACAAATATAGTATTGCAATTTTTTAAATTTTACAGAATACTAATACAGTCAAAAGTCGTTAATTCAGACAGACGCATGCGCGTAAGACCTTTACGGCTGCGAATTTACGTGTGCGCGTGCGCAAAATATGTTTACGAATGTGCGTTTAATGTATAACGGACAGTATAAGCTAAGCTAAAATTATCTAATTATCTATTTCAGTTAATGTTGCAGATTATTGTTCCTTAATCTTCGAATTGGATCCGGCTTATTATTTTTTGCAGACTGTTAGAGCAATTTTATAAAAGTAAGCTTGAACTTTCGATTATGTCAAATAGAATTTCCAATATATATTTACTAATCTGTAAAGGATCTACTAAGCGAAAGTATGTTTCGGAGTCTATTAAACAAAAAGTGGAATTACTGCAAAAAATGGATAAAGGCATATCTTTTGTTTATCTAAACTTTAACGTTTATCTAAACTTTGTTTATCTTTAACGCCCTGCGCAATGAATTAGAAGTTGATCTGTCAGCCACTATCCTTATCTTCAGGGCAGATGTTTTTATTTTATTTGGCTTACAATTGCTTACTAAATGTAGTATTTCATCTCGATGTACTCCGTCTTTGATATGATTTAAATCAAATGCCTCATCATTATAATTCGCTTCCAATAGCGAAGAAAGTGACAGAGGTTATTGAAAACGAAAAAATTTCGATTGACAAATTAGTTGGTATTCTCGACACAGCAATTATAGCACTTGAACAGCGTAACTTTGTAACTGAACAAGAAATTATGTCTGTTTATAGAATTAAAGAGAATGTATTATCGCATAAACGAAGCAACTTAAACAACTTACATTGAAAGAAATGTTTAATAAAGTAAACAAATAAATAATAAGCTTCTTTTTTTTTTTTGTAAATTTTGATACCCTTTAGTTCATAATTGTTCTTTATTTCGTAAATTACGGTTTTATATTTTTTAATTTTATAATTTCTGAATGCCATTTTACCAGATTTAAATTGATGATCTATAATCCGGAAAAATCGATAATCCGGAATCGCCGAAGTCCCGACGAGTCCGGATTAACGACTTTTGACTGTACTTTGTTACTATGCTATAAAATGGAATAAAATCAAATATCCTATATACAATATCAAATAAGTGAAATGTCTCACAGTAACCACCTCTGAAAGCTGATCAATATTTCTCATATAATGCAGAAGGAAAAAGTAATTTTCAAAGGAAGAAAAGGAAAGGAAAGAGGAAGGAAAGGAAAATTATCATAATTCCTTAATCCTCAAAATTTATGCAAAACAAAGAAAAAAGCAAAACTTTACAGAATTATATCACTCTCAGAAAGCAGCAGTCAGCCAGAGTATAAGCATTTTCAATGGCAGTTCCCTGACTCACATTTGAAATGTAAAATGGAGATAAAAACAAATCACACTAAACAAACTTTGAATAAGACTGAGATCAAACGGTGCTAAGAAATGAAGAAATCCTAGAATGATGCTTACTTAATCTTTTCACAGAATGGAATTCCCCATTAAAAAATATTTCTTCCCTTTAACTTTTTTAATATTTTCATCAACTTTTCTGAGTACACATACCATAAAATTTAGTTTTTGGCTATTTATCGATTCAGTATTATGTTTAACCTTTCCCTGCATCTTTAATTTAATGACTCCCCCTTGCGCACAAAATATTATTGCAAGTTTAAATAAGCAATCATTTATTGTTTATGAATATAATAATCAATTTTATGCCAATTCCTTTAGGTAAAACCATTCACTTCACAAACATTTTAGGTAATGGTGGTTATATTCGAAATGGATTAAACTCATAAACTGATGTTTCACTATATTTAAATAATGATACCATTAATAATTATAACTAAATGTGTGGTTGAATTTCATAAGATATTTCAATATAAAGATTCCAATAAAAGGAATTTTTCTCATTTTTAGGGAGAAAGGGGTAAATAATACTAGTACGTAACAAACACACATTTTATAAAAATTTCTGTGTTGCTAACTTACGACTAGTCAAACTTTACTGAAAAACAAATTTATAAATAAGTAAATATAAATCTTCCTCCAATTCTGAAAAATACAAAATAAAGAAAAAAATCAAAAATTTTTAATTTAAACACACAGAAAAATTTCAGTTTAAAAGGAACATCAGAAAACTGAGAAGCTTAAAAAATGCTTTTAACAATAAGAATTAACAGATTATAGAGATCCTTAAATAAGTTATAAATACATATCTGAAAAGGTATGTTAAAATTCAATTAAGGATGAATAAATAATGTAAATTAGTACAAGATAAAAGACTGGAAAATGAAAATATGACATTGAAATAATTATGAAGTATACACATAAAACAAATTTTATATAATTAAGAGATCTATACCTAAGGACACGAGATTCCTCCCGAGCTTTATTTCGTTCTGTTCTTACTTTACTCCATTTCTCACGCCAATTTGCAGTGCAATCAGACCACCATCTCATTGTTTTTTCCATCTGAGCTGCTCTTGCACGAGCTTCTTCTAACTCTCGCAATCGCAACTCTTCCTTGGCATCCCATTCTGTATCATAGCTGTGATGGTGGTGATGATGGGATGACAGAGAATGTTGTGATACATCACTTGGCATATCTCCATGCTCAGACCACTGAGACAAAGAATTACCAACATGCCGTTTCACAGAACTGGCAGTTGAACCAGTGTGAGACATTTTGTGATTATCCTATAAAAATAATAATTTTATTTTGTAATAAATTAAATACTGAAATAAAATAACTTTCATATTTAAAGTTCATAACGAGAATTTAAAATATTATAATATACCAATAATTATATTATAAAACCGAAAATAAGGGTGGGCTCTATTGAGTGACTTCAGATTACTTTTGTGAAATAAAAAATAACAAGTCCAGCATATCCTTTGTTCAGCATATCCATAGCATATATATATTTTAACATATTCAGCATATCCAACCCCCATAATTTATCCCGAGAAAAAAATTCTCGTCTTGTACACGGAAATATATGTGGTAGATCTGCACTAATATCTGACAGTAAAACATGGTCAACAATAAACCAAAATAACACAATTTCATACTAATAACATTAACAATAAAATGTTTTTGATTAACAAAAATTATGGAGCAAAAAATGCACAAATTAATAAATAAACAAAATTAATTTTTAATTTTACCAATTAAATAGATAACCAAAAAAGGAAAAATGAATAAAAATGACAGCTATATAAAAAAGGAGAAAACGCTACAGAACAAAATAATTAATTAATTTTCAAAATGAAAATAATATTGATAGTCTTATTATAAAACCAAAAATAAGGGTGGGCTCTATTGAGTGAATTTAGATTACTTTTGTGAAATAAAAATCCAATCAAGTAAAAAATGCTATTTTTGAAGTAATTTTGCTAAAAAAGGAAAAATATTTTACTCAGAAAACTAAAACTATTGAATAAATCAAACTTAAACTTCTGTAAACACGAAAGCCGGCAGTATGTAAAAACTGCAAAAAATCTGGATGCAGAAAACGTAGCCAAAATTTCGAACAAACCTTGTAAAGGGGTTTCTAGAAACTATAAAAAGGCATTTACAATGAATAGAAAGGGACTTCAAACCATAAATAAGCCCACGCTTTCTTGTTGTGAAGCCACTATATGCTTTCCCAGAAAAAGGAGTCTGGGTGGTGGGGGTGCTTTTAATGTGAGGTAACAAGTGTCCAACATAGCATCGTTTTTTGGTGGTTTTGTTCAAAAGAAAAAAACATCCAAGATGGCTAAGCGACAAAATCTCAAATTTAAAACTGGTCCCAAAGTAGAGGGAAAATGAAAAAAAGGTACGTGGGTTAGTAAAAGTTGTGATTCCGCATGCAATCAAGCTATAAAAACGTTTTGAGAAAGAAAAAAAAAAAAATCCTTTTTTTAAAATAACAGAACAGATTAGCCAGTAATTCTTTAGAAAATATAAAGAATGAAATTATTATCACAGTAGTCAAATTTAAAGAGAGAGAGAGAAAACACAAAAACAAATGTATGTATTCAGTTCAATATATCTATGCACTACAATTTAATCTTAAATTAGCATTATATATTTGTTAATCAATCTAACATATTAGCATTCTTGCTTCCAGATAATAACATAACTTTACTTTTATAATTTGCCAGCTATACAGAAAAAGAAGCCTATAAAAATACCAAGTGCACAAATTCTGTTATTATTTATCACACTTAATGGGTTAGAGTAGACTTCAAGGTACCCCTTGTATTATGGTGAAGTTATTGTTTCATTTATCTCCATGTTGTTGTTTCATTTATGGTAGCCTCAGTAGTTGAATATTATGGAAACCCTATTGTGATGTAATCGGGTGCATGATTCTGTGGGAAATTTTGCATCATGGGATGTTTTGTAAGCGCTTTTGTGGTGGTTTTATTGTTTAGACGGTAGAATGGCTCAATGTAGTAAGATTAATTTGAAGTTTCTGTATGATTTGGAACAAAAGGGAAAAGAGTGTTGATTGACTGGCGTGGTAAATATAGATTTACTTAGTAGCTATTATAAGTGTCCTGTATGTAGGATATGCGTCTAGTCAAACTTAAAGCCGTTTAGATGGATTTGAATGTGTTTGTAGGAAGAAAGGTTCAGATGTTGCGACGCCGATATACGGATTCAAGTTAAAAAAATTTTAGGAAGATTTTGGATGCTGTTGAGGAATTTTGTGTGCCTAAAGATGAAGGAACTTCTAAATAGGGTAAGTGAATATTTGCTTTTTGAAGAGCTTAAATGTATAACGTTTTTCCTTTTTTATGTTTTCTTATTGTTTGGTTAAAAATGTAGTTTATTGAGATTACATATATTTTGTTTGCCTGTATTGTAGAATTGGGTGCTCCTTTGACTTGTTAAGTGAAAATATATCGATGTGTACATGGACATAGTCAAGGGAGTGTGCAATGCAAGTTTGGGCAATTTTTAAAATTTAAAATTTTTTTTAAGTGAAAATAGGTCAACATGTACATAGATAAAGTCAAGGGAGTTCGCAATGTCATTTTTGTGCAATTCGGGGAATTTTTTTAAGTGAAAATAGGTCGATGTGTACATGGATACCAAGTTTGTGCAATTCTTGTTCTTGTTATTTTGGCTTTGTGTAGCGGCGATTTTTCACCAAAATTCGCCGTTATACAAGCCAAAATAATAAGTCAAAGAATTGCCCAAACTCGGGATCCATGTACTGCAAAAAATCTGCAAGTTTCGCCAAGGGGTACCCTAAAATAAACTTTTACCCACATAATGATTTTCATAACAAAAGTTGGTACTCTTCTGTTATTGGGACAAGATTCAGAAATGGATGCAAGTATGTATGCAGATATGTATGTATGTCCATATATGTATGCATGTATACACACACATACATATATACATACATATACAGATGCATACATTAACACATAGAACCACATACATGCATTTATATATATATATTTTTTTTCATAAAAAATGTTTTGTATTTATACATGTCATGATATGAATGATTTGGAACTTGGTGGTGGCATAACAGATGCCTAGCGAAGAAACTTGTCAAGGCCAGCATGGCCAGATTCAAAGTAATTTTATTATTGCGGAAATCAGTTCTGGATTTGCAATAATTGGTTCACATACGGATGGGCGTCTTATGCGCCCTACATTTTTGTTAGCTCAGTACATATTCAGTGAGTAAAGAAGGTAGCTAAAAAGAGTCTTGCCAGGAGGAAAGCATAAGTGAAAGTGTCTACAAAGTCCGAGATCTGGATGTCCGATATCTGCAGTGATCTAAAAATCTGGACCTCAAAGCCACCACCAGCTTTTTTTTATTTAAATTATTTATTTGCATCTCTCCCACGCATAATAAAACATGGAGAGTCCCCATTCTTAATTTCACTTTGGCACTAAATAAAATACATCGTTATTGAAGAAACAATCACTTTAGGATAAATTTGTATGATCAATAATTTGCCTCCGTTGCTGCTGATCTGCTTGACATACATTTCAAACTGAAACATTCTACATAGATACATCATTGATTTTACACTTTCTAGTATTTTATATCCCTTCTAGTATTTTCTAGTATTTTATATCCCTATATATTTCTAGTATTTTATATATATATATATATTTCTAATATTTTATATCCCTGATGCGATAATAATGATTCATCAGGGATTTTATATCCCTGATGAATCATTATTTATTATATTTTGCTTTCATCACTGCATGTTTATCAACACATGGCAACTTGAGTAGTAACTCGTATAGAAATGCCTAAACAATTTTTTTTATGGTAGTAATTGAATAATAAAGAGTATTGTAACCTTTCAGTCGCATTACGTTTAACAATGATTACAGATTTAAGTTAATGCCCTAGAATTGTGATGAGGAAAATTTAAAAAAACTTCTTCCATAGCTAAAATAGATTGGTGAATGATTCATAGGCAAAGAGAGATAGTGAGATTGATTAAGACAACTGATTGTCATCACTAAACCCGACCCAGCGTCAGAGCTTGTATGGCTGCACCAGGTGGCAGAATTCAGGGAAGACACAGGGAGGCACTTGGTAACACAATTTAGGACCCACAGAGGCTGCATCAAGTGGTACAATTTCTAGCACCTTCCCTTATTTAGTGGAACAACTTGTCGTTAGTCGCCAATCTCATGATACATAACCATACATAGTGAACGATAGCTAAATTTTATGATGACAGCCGCGAATTTTAAATGTTTTTGGAAATCGCAAAAAAAGTTGAAATTTTCCAATTAATGGATTTTATAAGAAATGTGGAGAAGCGGTAATAAATGAAGATGGTAAAAAAGAAGTTTTCATTGTGATGATAATGCTCCTCAATTATCAATCAATTAATGGATGGCAAAATCTGTACTATGGTTTTAAATCCAGAAAATACCACTACCGATAGTGAAGAAAATGACAGAGAGGTTACTGAAAATGAAAAAATTTTATTGACAACTTAGTCGGAATTCTCGAGACAGCAATTACAGGACTTCAACAATGTAACTAAACCAGAAATTATGTCTGTCTGCAGAATTAAAGAGATTAAACAACTTACATTGAAAGGAATAATGGTAAAATCCCAGGAGAGCCCACACCCTTGGCGACAAACTGGGAAAATGGAGAATCACCCACAGCTTCGCGCATTTCTCGAAATCGCCAACTTGAAAATAATAAGTCAAAGAATTGCACAAACTCGGTATTCATGCATACATTGACCTATTTTCACTTAAAAAAACATCTCAGAATTGCACAAACTTGGCATTGCACACTCCCTTGACTTTGTCTATGCACATACCGATACACGGCATATAAGTAGGCGTGTCAAGGGTGTGGGCTCTGCTAGGATCCAACCGAAATGTTTAATAAAATAGAAAAATAAATACAGCACGAAGTTCGTAATCCAGACGTCCATTATCCAGAATGATCTATAATCCAGACCTCAAGTACCACTTTTTTTGTATGCGTTAAGCATGCGTAAGCATTACGCTGCTTTTAATTATAACGACGGTATAACTGGCTAAAATTGTCTACTGATTCTAAGCTTTCATTAAAGTTTGCAGATGCGCTGTTCCTATCTTCTAATTGGATCCGCTAAAGGGGAAATTTTCAGTTATGGATTTGAAAGAAATGTGGAGAAGCGGTAAATAAATGAAATGATATAACAGAAGTTTTTGG